CTTTCTTTCTTTCTTTCTTTCTTTCTTTCTTTCTTTCTTTCTTTCTTCCCTTCCACTCCTCCTTCCCTTTCTTCTTTTCTTTCTTCTTTCCTCCCTCCTTTCTTTCCATTTCTTTCCTTTCTTCCCTTCCTTCTGAATTTAGTAAGCACCTGCTGTATGTCAGGCACTGCTGGGGATACAAAGACCAAAATGGACTGGTCCTGGCCCTGCAGGAGCTTATATTCTACCCTGAGAAACAATACAGGCACCTCTAAACAAACACAAACAATACACAAAGTAAACGCAGTGGTGGGAGTACATCATTCATAACTGGGGGGAGTTGGGATGGGCTTCCTGTAAGAAGTGCCACTTGAACTGAGCCTTGAAGGAAACTAGGGTTTCTATGAGGCAAAGGTGAGCAGAAAGCCCATTGCAAGGATAGAATACCAACCTCAATATGTTGTATTAGTAACACCATGAATATATGAGGGGATGGAATCAGGAGAGGGAATCTTTTATAGCCTAAACAGCAAATAAGCCAGTTTGGCTGAAACACAGACTATGTGGAAGAAAGTCAGGTCAAATAAGCCTAGAAATGGAGGCTAGTGCTAGGTTGTGAATGACTTTATATGTGAAACAAAGGAGTTTGTGTGTTATCTTAGAGGCAGCTGAGAAGACACAGAGCAGGGGAGCTACATGGTCAGATCTATGCTTTAGGAATATCAATTTGGCAGCTCTGTGGAGGATGGATTGGAGAGAGGAGGAGAAGCTTGAGGTAGGGAGACCAGTTGGAAGGTTATGGCAGTAAACTAGACCAATGCCAATCTGGACCTAATCCAGACCAAAACCAATCCGGACCTAATCCAGACCAAAGCCAATCTGGACCTAAATCAAGGTAGAAGTTGTGTGAGAGAGGTTATGAATGCAAGAGATATCACGAGGACAGGACGGATAAGACTTGGCAACAGATTGGATAGAGGAAGGGAGGAGAAAGAGTTGAAGATGACTCCGAGGTTGAAAACCCGAGTGACAGTCCCTGAGGACAGGGACTACTTTATTTTGGTCTTTGTATTCTAAGAACTTGGCACAGTACCCTACACCTGGTCAATGCCTTATAAATATTTGTCAAGTTAAATTGAATCAGAAGTCCAGAGTTATATTTTCAGTTTATATAATGACTTAAACAGGCCATTTAACTTTCTTGATGCTAAATTTTTCTCTCCTTAAAATGGGTGTAATACTATTTACTGCCTGCTTCACAGGCATCTTCTTGGGAAGCAATCCATCAACATTTGCAAAGAATATTGAACTCATTGGACAAAAATTGCTGCTTAAAAAGACTTTCTTTAATAATCACTGAGTTGCTTAATATATTCAGAAAGGATTTGTGGAGAAGAGGTTTATGGAATGAGCAGAGGGAAATGCAACTATATCTATTTTGAAAATATTTTTTGGTCTAATAACTCAGAAATAAAGTCTCATTGACTAAATACTTTTTCTTGGAAGCACCTAATAATCATTTGCTTAAGCCCACAGACAAAAATATAGGGCAAAGACTGTTGACTTAGGGAACTAAAGCTGTGAAATCCCCTAAATGCCAAGACTCTCTTTAAGATCTCACACATCTCTGTAACAGCTCATAAAAACTCCTTGACACACATATGGCCTCTTACTCTTTGTTCTGCATGTGGCCGACTCATTTCTGATTGGCAATCTGAATGAGACACAAATCTCACTTGGTCAGGCTCTGGACTGCATCAAGGGCTTTTACTGCATCAGAAAGTAGGTGAAATACAGATTTAGTTGGTTCTAAGAAGTGAGATAATTCCTTTAGCTCAAGATCAGAGAATTCAAGAAGCTAGGACTCCTTGTAATTGAAGCTTATGAGATCTCTAAAAAAATGATCATTGGCCATCACAACCTTCACATTTGGAAAAGACTCACCCTTTGGTTCAGTTAGGGAATGAGGGTTCATTAATGCAGGCAATCACATTATAAAAATGAGGACTAAAAGGATCCTACATTTCTAGGACTCCAAAGGTCATCTAGGCAGTCCATCCCACAACCTTCAAAGAAATAGATGGGTATTAATCTCTGAATCATCCCCATTTTGTCCAGAGAAGGAGATTTTACATACACACATGATTTGAAGCCCAAGGAGACCTTTGAGATTATTTAGTCCAAACCCCTTATTTTGCAGAAAGGTGAAGCCAAGAGAGGTGAAACAACCATCCTCGGGTCATACAGGTACTAAATAACTGAGCTGAGCAGATATGCTACCCTCAGATCTACTCTT